TTAATTTAAAAGTGTCAAATTATTTCAAACTATAGAAGATAAACCTCATAATGTAGTCAAACTTCACTGAAAAAAAAAGTCCATTTGCAGTATTATATTTCAAGTTTTTAGCATTAAAAGATTTACTTTTCTAAAAACAGTTAAAGAAAACCAAACAGACTCATAGCCATCAATATGAGAATTCTTTTCAACAGCACCTAAGGACATAGGAAGCCTCAGTGCCTGCTACTTTTGAAAATGGGATTTGAAATAAAATTTGCCCAAAGTGGTTCAGAAGTCTGCGTATTGAACACTTCTTCCAAGTGTTTCTGTTTTCACAGGATGGGACAGAAACCAATGTTGGATCCAGCCTGCAGTCAGGGGACTTTGGCAGTGTTAGGAGGCAGGGCACCTAGCAGCAGCCTGCCGCAGATCCAAGCCATGCGATTCTAGCCTGCTGCCAACCACTGTTGAAGTTCTAAAGTCAGAAGGGACCATTGTGATCATCTTGCTTGACCTCCTGTACTATGCAGGGCATACGACTTCCCTTGTTAATTTTTTTTTCAACTTGAGCATCTCTCTCAGAAAAACATCAAATTTGCTTGTGATTTAAAATATTCCCGTGGCGGAGAATTCATCGTAGCCCTTGGTTAAATTGTTCCAAAAACCTTATATCTAGTCTGCATTTGTCTACTTTCATCTTCCAGCTGTTGGATCTTTGTATCTCTTCAATAGATTGAAGACCCCTCCATTATTACATTCCTGCTCCCCATATAAATGTTTACAGATTAGACTCGAGTTAACTACCTTTTTTTGAAACTGCACTAAACCACTGGAGATCCTTGATTATTCTGATGTTTTCTAAACTTGTAATTGTTCTGTTGGGGGTGTTTTTCTGAAATCTCCACTTTTTCCAGTATCCTTCTAGTGGTACGGATTATCAGAACTAGACACCGTACTCCTGAAGCAGTCGCTTGTACTACTTCCTAATAAGTACTTTGAAAATAGCCAAATGGTGACCAGATACAATTGCTTTCTTTGAGCCATCAGAATAAATGGTTATACTGAAGTTTAAGGTAAGAAAAACAACACTGAGTTATATGAATAGGATGACTCAAGTTGTACTATAAAGCAGAAAAAGGAAAGAATTTGAATAGTATAGTACTTTGCCATTTTAAATCAGGTGGCAATATTGGGCAGTAGTGAAACTATGTTTATTTGGATATCTGATAAATAAGCCTACGATGCAAGACTTAAGACAATCAGTCACACACAATGCTGAATGACTTAGAAGCCACATAAACAGTCAGTGTTAATAAAAAACCACAACACGTATACCCCCAGGTGAACTGCAGCAAACACACTCCAGATCAAAAGAAAAAAAATTACAATACTTGTTCCATAATTGACAGAGATAAATTGCATGTGTTGCATTATTCATGATTGTGGGAAAGATGTATCCAGTGCATGCAACATAAAAACCCACACCTTTAATAATATTCTCTATGAAAAGCCACAGGTTGAAGAGGCATTGCATCTTGCAAGCAGTGGTCCAAGTGCTACTACCTTAGAAAAAATACTCAATTTGGGACTGCAGGCTCAAAGAAGAAAGATTGTTCAGATGAAGGTAATTGCCACAGGACAGTCACTCTCTAGGGATTAACTGGCAATTGAGCATGCACTTTATACCCCCAAAGTCTTTGTTCCTACAGAAGTGAAATTGTCTTTTGAGCATTGCAGGTACTAGTGACAACTAGTAATGCTTCTGAACCCAGCTGCAACAAATTATGATTAAATTATTAAGAACATGATGTTCAAGAACCAGTTGGCAAGAGTGATCATCATAAGGTAAAGTAAAGTAGTTCTTTTCATGCCAGGCAGAATCAGCTAGAAGAAAAATAAAATAAACTTCAACATCTTCTGTGAGAGGGCATTTCAAAAAGTTATGCATATACCTACAGGGATTGAATAAAATAAGCATACTAAAAGAGTAATTTTAATAAGAGTTCAAAATGATTCATCTTAAATGGAACTAAAGGAAAAACATCTGTAGGGATAAGCCTTATACAAAAGCTAGCGAGAACTGGTCAGAAGACACAAGACACTAACCAAGAAGGGCAAGAAAATTCTCAGGGTGAAAAGACCTTTAAAGCAGGCATATTTAAGGGTATGCCTACACAGCAAGTGAAGGTGCAATTGTGGCTTAGCTAGGAACACTGGCTGCTTGCAGATATAGGAAAAAAACCCCACCCAAAAATGGCATTTTAAACTTGGTGCATGCCCAAAAGAGGCAGTGCGTTAGTTGCACCCAACTCCCAATGTCTGTATAGATCGGGCACTTTAGTATGGCATTTTTGGTGATTTTATCTAATAGCAGATTTAATCAGTTTTGGCTAAAAGCTCCAAAAAGCCCCGTTGAAGAGCCCAATCTATACAGATGCTGCAGAGCCAAGTCAAAGTGGGAGTTGGACTGATAACCTCCTGAGGTCCTTTCCAACCTCAATTTTCTATGATTCTATAAAGTAACACACTGCTGCTTCTGGTAAAGTCTGTTATTTTTCACCCCACATCTTTCAGCCTCCACTCATGCTAGCTTTAATTCAGCTAGAATGGGTAATAATAGTACTGAAGCTGTAGTGACAGCTTCAGCATGGGCTAGAAACCAATGTCTGAGCTTTCCAAGGAACTTGGTATGGCCAACTTGGCTGTGCCACCAAGGACCACATTTTCTTGCATACCACACGTTGTAAGTAAAACACACACTGTTTTAGGAACACAGAATGTACAAACTATTTTTTTTCAGTCACAGCTGACTATGACAGGGGTCAAGAAGTGTGGCATCCCAGGAGACAGTCTGGGTAAGGCAGCTGGATCTTCGTAGTACAGGACAGCAATAAGGGTAGGCTTCAGACCAGGGGCAACACATAGGGGGTGCATGTGGGTGCATGTGCACCCCCTGAGCGTGGCTGTGCACCCCCTACAAAAAGGGCATCACCAACACTGTTGGTGGCACCTGCAAGCAGTCACCGCTTGCCATCCCACCACTGACAATCTGTAATCCCCATGTCATTCATGCCTCAGACCCTTGCAAGGGCAATAGCAAGACTATTACTTCTTGACTGTAAATAGGTGACATGCCCAACTGCTAGTTAGAATATAGTAACTTGAAGAAAGAACACCACTTTTTCTTACTTTAGATATTTCTAGCAATTTCTTTGCATGCCATCTTCCTGATACAAAGCCAATATGGAACTATATTGCATTTGCTATGTAACATGTCACTATGTTTTATTGGGAATTAGTTGAATTTATTAGACAAGTCTAAAACTTTTCTTGTGACCCCACCTGGCTCACTCCAGAATGCTTTGTCCCCATTTTGAACTCTGACCATGTGAGGGTAGTACGGTAGGTCACCACACTTCACCCATGCATAGATGCTCTCTTGTTCATATGTTGTGCTATAACAAATTTTATGCTTAAGAGATACTGATTGACCTTTCAGAGCTAAGTACGCTTGTGGTATTTAAGTCCTGATCCTGGAAACCGTCAGGACAGATTAGATAAATTGAGTCAAAACTTCAGATCTTCAACATTGGAACCAGCAAGGTTTTTTTTAAAAAAAAAAAAAAAAAAAAAAAAAAAAAAAAAAAAAAAAAAAAAAAAAAAACACCAATAAAACTAGATCATGCCAGACTAAATTTATCTTCTTGAGTTTGGTAAAGCTACTGATAAATAGCATCCATCCATGTTATTTTGTGAAGCACTTAAGTGTTATAGAAATGCATGATTTTTCAAAAGTTTAGTCTGGAACGTATATAAATTGCATAAAAAGGATAACAAAAATGGCAGTAAATGATGAGAAGTCAACAGTGTAGCAGCTCAGAAGTCAAGTACTGGGGCCCCCAGATTAGGTTTTTTTTATCTAAAGGTAAATTATACAAAGTTAGAAATGAGTACGTAAAACAAATACCATCTGTAAGAACGAGGGCTTATTAAAATGGCTAATGGATATTAGCATGAGTCATTGTAACAGTAAAGGATTTTGAATCTGAAATTCAATTGCTGGCTAAAGACCTGGAAATCACAAACAATAAAAAGGACTTAATGTACGTTAGCACTAACGAAGATGGGAATGTATTGTTTACCTGCAGTAAAGGAGGACAAAAGGTTCTCAGGATGCATCAACTGGGTATATAAACAAAAAAAGGGAAATAGTCTTTAGGGCTGTACAAATTCTGGAGTAAGTCCAGAAAACAACAAAGATTTTTTTAAAGTTATAGGAGACTTCACTATGAAGATAGGTTTAAATCTCTTCAACTGATACAGTTTATAATCTTCTCAGTTTATCAGCTAGGTAAGAGAGATGCCTGAAAATGGGTGGAGATGAATTTTTAATGTACATACAGTATCTAAATCAGAACTTTAAAAAAAACGGAATAAGCATCTCACTGAACTGAAAAGGAACACAGATGAGAGAAGAATAATTATGTGGAAACCAGTGGTGAAATGGAAAATAAATGGAGCTGAATGCATATATGGTGATTCTTGCTTTTATTTACAAGGTTAAAACCAACTACTACATTTGGAGTTTAGAAGGTTATACCACGATCAGCAAGGGTGTTTTTTTTGTGCCCACCTTCCCCTGGAAGATTGAGCAGGGCCAAGTTAGGATAATATAGGAGTGTCGTATTTGATCAGTTTCCTGTCTCTGCAGCAACTTAGAAACAATCTTTCCTCACTCCTGTGCTCCAAGACTTTGAACACATTACCAGAATTCCTTTAATAACTTTTAAAATTTGGCTCTCCAAAGTTTTTCCTTCAGCGCTCAAAACCACTAGATTGACTGTAGATCCAGTGATGGTGAAGGGATAAAAAGTGTTTTTTCCCTTTTTCTCAGTATATTGACTTCAAGGGATTTGTATATCAGCTATTGCACTTAAGTAAAACTCAGGCATAACTAACCTGCAACCCAAGTAAACACAAGGCTAATGTAATATTAAATAACCAGAGACACTATCAAGTTTCTGAGCTTACGTGTATGGAGGAGATTTTTTTTTTAATTTCATATCTTGCGTTACACATCATGTCTGGTTATCCAGGCAACAGGAAGATTTCAAGGAAAACAACTTTATGTAACTTCTAGATCAAACAAGAGTAATTCATTTAAACAACCTGCCTCATAATGCATGTTGCCCAACACGTAGCTTCTGAGAATGTTTCTTAAAACAGAGATTGCACAGCAACTCTACTGTATAAGAAAATTTAATCTACTCCCAAATGCTTCCCTGTTCCTGAGGTTCCTCCATATTCCTTATTCCAGCCTGGAAAAACCCCCACATCATTCCATTTCCTCCAACTATTTCCTCACTCCAGTTAGAGGCCCAGTGTTATCTATTTTATAATCCTCCAGAGAACCTATCAACTAAGTGCCAACCAAAGGTTATACAACTGCCTTTCTGTATGCACCTTCTCTCTGTAGGCTGCAATGTTCAAAATGAACACAAGAGAGATTTAATTCAACATGGCACCATCACCAGCAGTTTTATTGTTAAATGTGACATGATGCACCAATTGTAAAAAAAGTGTTGGGCAAGTGTAACATTTTAAGAATGAACCTTCTGCGTAAAGTTACCCAGTGTCAGGAACATCACGCCATAGTGCTAACAAGTAATAAAACCACCTCCCAGTTTCTAATTCACAGATTTTTAATCAGTGAGCATCAGGAAATACCAGCCACACTTTATAGTATTTCCAAATGCCATATAATACAGGGTGCATTCCAGCAAAATTCACAAGGGAAGTTAGACAATTGAATCTATCTAACGGGGATGAGGCAAGTTTGTACTGGCTATACTGAGCTATCCCTCCCAAACTACTGCTTCCCCTCCAGCCAGTCAATAAGACACATTACACCTTAGGTTGCTCTGACCTAAGAGCACTGCACCTTAGACATATGCCGATTTGCAAAGTGGGGAAACTGGTCAGATTTAAGGCAAATGACTTATGAGAGAGAGTAGTTCATAATCAGTTTGTCCAACTACACACAGTAGGACTGAACAGGCAACTGATTGCCACAGAATATTTACACCCTAGGGTCTCTTCTTCAAAGCCTTCATCCAGTCATCACATTTAAACTGAGAAGTTAAAAAAAAAAAGTTGGTAACTTGTATGCATACAGCATTTTTTTTTTAAAATAGAACATCCAGGCTAACAGATTCATCTTGGTATGATCATCCTTTCTATGGCACAGATAATGTGATCCCAGTTTTTACAAAATATTGCAAGTAGAGTCACTGCAAAGAAAGTGCAAACAATATGGAAACGGCTCTTCATCATAGGCGCTATGAACTTTGCAATAGTTGAGACGCACACTAATATGACTGCCATGAAGGCCAGGATTACATTTATACATTTTCCCAGGAGTACTTTGGCATTAACAGTCTCCGACTGCAGTGCTTGCTGTTCTTGCTGATGGAGTTCCAGCTTAGAAACCCGGGTCTGGCATGATTCCAAGGCTTCCTAGAGACAAAGGAAAATAAGATTCAGGGGCAGCTGCATTTCCACACAAAACATTTTCTCATTTAGATACTGAACCACCTCTCAGATGAGATAAAGTGTAATGTATGAATTACCTAAACAAAACTGCACAAATAAACGTTAAAAATGTATACACCATTGTCTGTTGAAGTATAATCTCCCTCAACGATGCTAGCAAAAGCATATTTCCATCTTTTGTGCTGGAGAAAAATCTCAGTTTTAACATTCATGATGGCTCATGTTTCCTGAATATACTGATGAACTGAAGAACTGGGTAAGCTGTTGCCACGGTAACTTCACTGTATTAAGCCCGCACCAAAGTAACTTTCTTTGCATATGCTACAGAAAACATTAGGAGGGTACTGGTTTGCTGTGACACCAATTAAGTCTGTTGTGCAGTGTGGACCATTAGGTTTGCATCTCTATTCTGGTCTAAACTCACTTTCACCCTCTTGAAAGCCACCTATTGTATAGTCCTGGGACTGTGTTCTCAGCAAGAGATTGCGCTTTCCTTTTCAGGGCTCATTAATCCATGACTTAAATACATTGTAAGCATACATATCTGAAGAGTCGCACTGAACAGTGCTCAGCCAAACATTTTTCATTATAGCTAGGGATGCTATCACTTTGAATATCATGATATTGACTGAAAAAGGAGGAGATGGTTCCATTAATATTTTCTTGACACAAAATGCAGAAATATTTTGCTGTCTGATTGCTATCATTATAGTTCAATATCTAAACTTCTTCATTTTTTGTAGTAGTAATCAAAATACACAATTTATTGTTTTGCGGGGGGGAAAATCAGTAGCGAATACTTCAGGTTTTCCATTAATCTTTGGAAAGGAAAGAGGGCTTGAGCCGATGAACTCCTTAAGTGCCTTCTAATACTACATTTCTATGATTCTAAATGCCCCATGTTGAATATCTAGCTGATTATACTTAGACTATGCTATTTTTTCAGTTAAAATTATTGTGCAATTTCCAGAGGTGAAATCATTTCATTTTTCAATTAAATTTCAATTTTAAAATAGAAAATTCCCCATCCCTAACTGAATTTATTTTTTCAACATGACATATACCACCTCATATTTTTTTCTAAACAAAGCTGATGAGATGCACCTCAGCTCTCTCTTTTTTTTGTTTTCCAGGTGATCTAAAGATCTTCTAATAAAAACACTCCCAAATGCTTAGCCAAAGTAATAATTAGGTCTGTCCATGTGCCACTTTATATTACTAGTAATAAAATAATGATGTTAAAGATTAATGTCTTTCATCAGTTAGCTGGAAGATTTTTCACTTCATAAATGCATAAAGCAGTATCAGGCAGACAAGGTTTTTTGGCTAAATCCTACCTCTTTTATTAGACCAACTTAAATGGTTGGGAAAATTCTTCTTTGCAAGCTTTCAGGTACAAATACCCTTCATCAGGCTGAGGAAGCATCTGCAGTTAGTCGGATCAACCGCAGACGCTTCCTTAGCCTGAAGAAGGGTAATTGTACCCAAAAAGCTTGGAAAGAAGAATTTTCCCAACTATTTAAGTTGGTCTAATAAAAGAGGTTGGATTTACCCAAAGAACCTTGTCTGCCTAAGTCCTTAGAACAACATGGCTACAACCTATACCCCTAAAGCAGTATCAGGAATGCAGTTTCCTCTCAGTAATTCATGGAAGAACAAGGACAACAACTGTTGCAGGAGAAACACGGGGTAAAAAGGAGTCTCAGTAGGATGGAAACTTTATGAGTTTCTATCTAAAATATATTTATAATTCCTATAGCTACACAGCTGTTTCTCCTTCAGACCAAAGGAAGGGACACCTGATGCTCAAAAAAGTCCAAGAAGAGATATCACAAAAAAGTCTTACATCTTGACATAGCTTCAAATGTATTCTATAATTGATTTGGGATCTCAGTCAATTTTTCTTTTTAAAAACTACCCAGTTCTGGTACTATAAACTCAAATTATAATAAAATGTCACACAACATTAATACATTTTGGAAGGGCTTTAGGCATCATTAGCAAGCTAATGGAGAAAAATGCCACGTTTGCAATGAGGCAGACTGAGAAAGAAGCAAAATTCTTGCATTTCAGAATATTTAGTATATGACCTGGGGATTACTTACTCCTCTGCTAACAAGGAGTAAGTTTCTGTTCCTTCTTTTTTCATGTTTTTGAGACAAGATATTTAGCAGAATTTGGAGACTCATTAGAATCTGACAGGCTGCACCATGAGCACTTCTGCTATGGCCTTGAACTTGTGACCTCTGGGCTGTCAACCCTGTGCCTTAGCACCAATACCACACCAGCCCCTCTGGTTTCACTGAAGTGAGATCTTCACCATAAATTGAAAGTGGCCATAATGTTACCCTACACAAATTTTTTAAAAAAGGGTCTAACTCTTTAATAACATTCCTTAAATTTAAATGCAAATGTGTAAAATTATTTAAATGCAGGAGTTTGTAGAATAGCTAGCAAGTTCAGTCATAAAAATACCTGAACATCTCGTGACCGCTCATAGGCCTGATAAGCCACCTTCTCTTCTATGCTAGCTAGCTCTTGTTTCAAGTTTGCTGTTTCATGCTGATGGAGGTCAGTCAGATCATTTAGCTGGTCTTCCAATCGTTCATACCTTTTCAGGAAAAAAAATCAAATCTAAATTATCTCCTATACAAGTGTGGTTACATCTTTTGAAGAGACGTGCACTTTAAAAAGCTATAATCTTTATTTGATTATTCTATACTCTTATGCCAAACCACCACCACTTTGATTTGCAATGAAAATCAGTGAAAGTAAAACATCCATGCACCCATTTAACTCAACACCCTAAAAGTTATTTGCAAATATGTTGGTGGTATAACAGAAAATATCATTTAAATAACTGTACCCCATTCATGCGTTCACATCTCGGACTGAAATTCATTGTAGTGGCTTTTATATATTTTTCCCTCACCTCCATCTAAAATAACCTGCCTTCCCTTCACTTTGAGAACAGTAAAACAAGGGATTTTTTAATAAATACTGTGTTTTATACTAATGGGTTTTTTTCCTATTTACAAAGACAACATGCATCTCGTTAACCAAAATGCTCATTTTCGCAATTAATATGACATTTGATATTTGGATACATTTTACTTGGCCAAGATTTTAAAGGGTGACTGATATCCAATCTAACACCCAAGAAGCACAAAATTTAAGAGTTCAGGTGATTAGTGCTTTCTAAAGAATCAAGTGCATCTCATGCTACAGTTTAAAAAATGGAGATGTCCAAAATTCACTGTTTACCTTGGGGGAAAAATACTAAAAAACAATCTTGGTTTGTGTCTAAGTGTTTTGCTCCAGGTCTGGATTTTATGCAGAACGTACATCATTGCCCATAATGGATGTTAAAAGGTTAAATTTCCAAGTAGTTTAGGGCCATAAGAGGATGTTTTGTTAAAGCATTTAAAGTGACATATTGCCATAGTTTATTGCACTGTCTCTCAAAATTGCATTGGGTAACTATGGGCTTGTGAACATTCATAATGCCAAACTGCAGGAAATGACTTGGGAATAAGAATGCACTGTTAATTGTAGAAGTAGCTCTATTACATCACAGATTGTTTATCAGGTTCTAAATGGAAATAAATCAAAACCTTTCCTTTGACTATGACAGCAATGGCAACAACTGTATGCAATATTCATATGATACATTATGCCAGTAAAGCAAGAGGCAGATTAAAACTTTCTAGAAAAGCCTTAACTAAATGAATATAACTGTCCCATCTATCAACTTGAAGTATTATTGTTACAAATGTATTTTAGGTTAACAAAAAGAAACAGCATTTTTGTAGCCAATACTTATTACTGAGACCAAAAAGGGAAGTTAATTTTTATTTTTTTTATTCATTTTTACAAACAACACATTCAAGCTCACTAATTCTCTTAAAGCATATATTTGCATTCATATGATTCTGAATCACTTCATATAACCACGCAAAAGCCATTTCAAGAAAGCATGAAAAAGAAAATACCTGTATCTTTCCTCTTGCAGCGTCTGAGAGATAAAACCATAGTCTCTTTTAAACTGTGTTTTTAAGTTCTCTATATCTTCAGCTAATTGGGATTGCGTCTCCTTTATTTCTCTCAGTTCCTCCAAGATCATAGAAAGCTTTCCTTGGTTGCCCAGAGTGCCTGATCCACCAGGCCCAAAGGAAGGGTTCCCATTGCTATCTGCAGAGCCAGATGTCCCACTCGAGCATTCATCATCGCTAATATATTTAGTTTTAGGCACAATAGTGGCACTACCACCATAGGCCCTAGAACTAGTTTCTGGCCGAAATTCATCCAAGGTGCTTTTGAGGTGGGCAATATTATCAGCACTACCAAATTTATTTCTGATCAAGTTTGCAAACTCTCTAGATTTGTTAAAAACAAACACTGGAGGCGTCAGGGACACCCCTGGCACACCTGATTTGCTGCCCTCAGCTCCATGACCGGTAGTACGAGATTTGCCGTGGACATCTTTTAACGAGTGCTGTATATCTTTCAGACTGTCTTTGGAAATATCCTTGGTACTCTTGGAGGATCCATTTTGTTCAATGTCTTTGAGCTTTTTGTGATACTGTTCCAATTTCTTCTGGAGCTGGGCAATGGAGTGGGCAGACTTCTGGTTCTTTTTCTCAAAGACTTGTTTAATACGTCCAGCTTGTTGCTTGTCTGCACTGTTCACCAATTTTAAATATTCAGCCACATTTCCATCACGGCCTGTTTGTTCAATTTTAATCTGCTCGGTAACTTTCAGGATTTTTTGTTTCAAGCTATCTGCACTTAGTTTGACTTTGTGAAATTCTAAGACCCCATCAGGTACATCAAAGTTGAGGTTGGTGTCTGAACCCCCACGACGAATATTAACAGGCAAACTCAGGGTATTCATGTCATGTCTTTCCACCTGAAAAAGATTAAAATTGAAATTGGAAACAGCTACTTCCATTTTATGTTTTGATTTCCATACTATTTATAAGAAAAGCTGAGAGCACAAAGGAACTTACAAGAACAGAACAGTTGAATGCATATTAAACTATTTTTCATATCATACGGTAAAATGTTGAAAGTGAAGACTTTGTTATTTAGCCATGTAAAACACAGGTAGATTTCACCCTCTGGGTTGACTACTGATACCCAGGTGACTTGCTTTCACTTTAAAACAGTAATATTGCTTTTCCCAGTAGGTAAGTAAACAATTACGCTGTTATCACCTTTAAGCACCTCTTATGGACCTTTTCTTCAGCAAGTTGAACAAACTGAGGCTTGTTTTCCTAGCATGCCTCATTTTTGTGGCCCTCCCTTAAAACAGCTTTAGTAATTCCACACCTTCACATGTGGACCAGAACTTGACAATCTTCAAAGTGCAATCTTACTAATAATATGCAGAGGCAAAATTGCTTCTTTATTTCTTCCTGATATTCTCCTTTTTATAAATCAAAAGATGATATTAGCTCTTTTCATCAGAGCATTTGACTAAGAGCTGCCATTAACTACAATGACGCACAAGTGCTTCTTGGATTTGCTGATTTCTAATGCATCCTGTAGGTGTAACCTGCTTGCTGAGGGCGTGTGTAGACAAAATGGGGGCCCTAAATTGAAGCAGTGGGTTTTAAAAAATACTGCTTCAATTTAGGTTGATTAAACCCCCGTCACCCTGCTGACTTACCTGCCTCTCCAGCAGGCAGGGGAGAGCAAGCTGCTGGCAGGCAGAGCAGTCCCAGGGCTGTGGAGGGTGGCGGGGCATGCTTCCCTCCGTGGCAGTGGAGGCTCCCCCCTAGGCAGCACCTGACTTGGGTGGTCCCAGAGGTCACCACAGCTGCAGAGGGAAGCACCAGGCCCCTGTGCAGCTCAGGCAGGCAGGCTCCGGGGGTTGGGAGCGAAAGCGATCAGGCTCACTGCTTTTCCTGGACTGCTGTCAGGCTGCCTGCACGGGCTTCCTGCAGAGCTGTGGAGCTGCATGGAGTCTAGTGCTTCGCTCCATGGCTGTAGGGGCAGCTCGAAGGAGTTGTAGTTTGCTGCACCCCAAGTCGTTTAAGGTGCATTACACCACTGAATTTCCTACAGCAGCTGGAATTAATGTGCAATACATCCCTGAGGCGTGCAAACACCAAGACAGTTAAAGCGGTGTAAAAGCACTTAGCCCACTTTAAAGTGTTGTGCACACATGCCTCTCATTCTGTTTACACACGGCCCCAGTTCCTAGATGTAATACCTGGCATTTGGCTGCATTAACACGTTTTGTTATAACCCATATAACCATTTAACCAAGGGGATTCAGAACACCCTGGTATCAGTAACCCCTTTTCGTTATTTACTATGTACCAATCTTTGGATCATCTGCAAACTTTACTAGTAAAACACTGTAAAAGTTATCATCTAAATAAGTGATTCTCAGCCAGGGTGCTGTAGTCACGTGTGAGATGCCACACACTGTTAGCTGTGTAAACCTGATAAACGATAAACCAAAAGATTTCGCACAGGAATTCATAACGTTCAAATAATTCTGACCTGTTGTGGTCTGAGTTCTTTCCAACAGAAAACTTGTTCTATTATTTTTCTGTAGGCAAGAATGGGTGAAAATTAAGAGCTGGCATTTTCAAAGTGGTGGCTTAGATCTAATGAGCTGCATAGAGGGGTAACCTGAGTCTAAAAGGTTGAGAACCACTGATCTAGATCACCAGTATGTATATTAAGCAGCACGGATTTCAGAACCAAACCCTGGATGATCCTGTTAATAATATTCCATGCTCATTGATGTCTCTCCTTGAACAACCAAACTAAGAACTAATGACAAGACACCGAGTCTTGCATTCACCTTCCATATAGATCAGATCTATTTCATATATCTCAGAAGGTAATGTGTTGAATAGTCCATGACAAAACGGCTTTTAAATGCTACTCTTCGGACACGTCACCAGTTGTTAGGACTTTTTTTTACCTATAACTTCCTTGCACTTTTACCAATATGGGGACATGCAAGGGTGATGCAAAAATAAATAAATAAATAAATAAATAAATTCAAGTTTTAATACAAGAGGCATGCAGAAGAAATGCCTATAAATAAAAAAAAAAAGACGACAGGCTGAGACTTAATTAGTCAAACATTTAATGCACTAACTTCAAGTAGCCCAAACAGCATCTACGTGCGTCTTTGTTGACTTGCAAGTACTGTTTATGAAGTCTGATGCTGATGAACATAAAAAAAAGTCAGCACAGCACAGCATTCGTGTTTATGTTTGTGTTACAAAGCCTTTAGGAAGAATGCAGACAGCACAGTTCTGACACTGGTCATTTCCTGTTAGGCATATTGCTTACATCACTGTGGTAGTGATGACCTGTGGATCTCAGCAGGATGCTTGCAGGAAAAGATATTTAGCAACATTTGACAACTCAAATTGGGATATACCATATTTACTCAAGTATAAAGATGGCCCTGATTATAAGATGATTCCCCAATAATTAAATTCTATATATGGACAATTGATAAGTTTTATACAATTTTCCAGGTATACAATCTAATTATAAGAAGTTTGTCTTGAAGTCTGTCACACTGCTACAGCAGGGAAAATATTGGCTGGGGAGTCAGAAACCCCCTTGCCCTGTCCCTCTATCTTCTTTTCCTTGCAACTCCTTCCCCTTCCCCTTCTTGTCAGACCCTACTCTCCATGAGCACATAGAAGTAAGGAACAAATTTGAAATAACGGACCTTGAAATAACCATAGCTGTAGTAATTTGCATACATTACCCATACACTTATTTCATCCAGAATTGATACATCTTACCTTTTCTGAAACTGCTGCTAGTTTTAGCACAGGTACTCCATAAAACACACTTAAGTAGCATTTGACACCTGCTTATATGTAGAACAAGCAATGCATGATACTAGCCCAAAGCCAAAAGCTCATGATTCACCATATAGTCCATTGTGCTAGGCCTCACTAGAGTCTAAAGCATGAACCAAGTGTTCTTGTCACAAGTCCTGGGATCCTCCAAAAATACATATGCAGATAAGGCATAGGGCAACCTGGTCCACCTTCACCTTGTGGAGGGTGGGGGGCTACACTAATCATACGGGACAGGCTGAAACAACAGAGGGATTTTGGCCGATCTGTTTGGGGCCCTGTTTGGTGACATTTGCCAGACACTTAAGGCTGGTGAAGAAACAAGAATCAATGGAAATGGAAAAGCCACAGATCAGCTGTGGTGGGAGTGAAAGCAAAGTCAGACTGCATTCAATAAAGGCTCACCATGACTTGAAAAAGAGTTGGTGCTGAAGGGGAATGCACTCAATGGGCACTACCATTTATCTTGTTCAGTTGGGCTACACTAACCTTCTTGTGGTAGGTTCCCATCAGCATGTTTGTCCAATATGGGTCATGTACTTTATAGTCATTTTTGGTGGTAGCTGCATTTAAATCAACAACTGCCTGGTTGGTTTCCATTACTGAGCACATGCTGTGTTTAACAGCAGTTCAAAGATAGATAATGTATTTAATTCAGTTTTCTGACATGCATATGTAAGACTAGGGGCTTTTTTTGTTGCAAATACTGATGGGGTCAACATTTACACAGCCTGGGACGGTGTTCTATTCAGAACAATACTTTAGCTGAAATTCTCATTTCCAGAAATACTATCTTCCCCCCTTAATGGGTCATAGAGAAAATGCAAACAAGTAAAGGCAACTTAGAATGTATATATCCCCTTGCAGAAATGGCTAAGAAATCCTCACCAAGCTTTTAAGATGAATACACCTCTCCAATTTCCATCTACAGGAAACTGATGCATAGAGGGGACACATAACTTGTTTAAGGCCACTCGTAAGTCAGCAGACACAGGAGTTTGCATACTCAGGTCCCTAGCTGTCACTGTGTAAAGTTTATCAGATAAATTACTCCATCTAGCTAAACCAGTAAACAAAAGAGCCCAACATAAAACATTAATTTCCTGAAACAATACAAGTCACTTTTGTAGAAGCCTTAACACAAAAAAACAAAATACATTCAACTAAATTGATGAGCCACACATACAGTCAGACACGTTGCTAATCTTATCCAGGACAAACTGTACATACTTCCAAGGATGGGTGGGGCTGATTAAAATCTTTATACAGAACTTACTTACTTCCTTTAGTACAAAAAAAAAAAAAAAAAAAAAAAACTTTT